AAAAGTCCTATTACAAGGCCACCCTTAATAGAAGGCCACCCTGAAAAGAACGATGTAAATTTCCATAATAGAAGGCCATGGCCTTTTATTCTGGGGGGGAGTTTACGAAAAATTCATTTGTTTATCGTTTAATCAATAAAGCATTAAGAACAGAAGATGTCGAACAAATGTACACGTTTCGATATTTTATTCAAGATTTATATTCTGCACTCGTTATCAAACATAAAGTTTTTAAAGAATATGGTGAACCAGTAACGGTCTATCGTGGTCTTCGATTGATTCAATCTGAATTTGATGAACTCATCAAAGATGAAAAACAATTGATATCTATGAATGGTTATTTATCGACAAGTCTTACACGACGAGTAGCTGAAATGTAGGCTGGAGAACCAACATCAACATCTGATAAATTATCAGTCTTACTCGAAATAGAATGTGATGTATAAAAATTAGGTGATTCCGTTACTTTTGCCGATATTACACCAGAAAGTAATTTTCGAGATGAAAATGAAGTTCTTTTCGATATTGGTGCAACATTTCAATTAACAGCTACACCAATACAAAATGATAATGGTGTGTGGTATTTGAAAATGATTGCGACTGATGAAGGTCGTACACTTGTACGTAAATATATCGATGATCATTTTGAATTCAGTACAGATATGAGCCCCAAAATCATGTTTGGTGTTTTGTTATACAACATGGGGAAATATGATTCATCACTATCATACTTTAATAAACTCATTACAAATCCTGAGGGTGATGACGTTGCTTTGATTCATGTTTACATGGCTAGGGCATTTAGCATGCGAGGTGACACGAACAATGAATGGAAACATTATGAAAATGCCTATTCAATCCTAGTCGAAACGGAACCAAGACGTATCGAAGACGAAGCTCGTGTTCTTCTACACATGGGTATTTTTTATTTTGATAGAAGTGAAAACGATCGAGCACTTGAATATTTGATGCGTGCACTTTACCTTTTCGAACAAGTTTACGGCAAAAAAAATGTAGAAATAGCTAGAGTTTTTCTTTGTATCGGAGGATGTTACGAAGAAAAAGGTGATAATAATTGAGCTATTGAATTTTATAATTAAGCATTAAAAATACATGACGAATGCGCAAATTCAAATCATATAATACAATATCAACTACTCATTGCACTTGGTAATACTTATCGTTTACAATGCAAATATGAAGATGCATTCATTCAATTTCGGCAAGCACTGGATATAAGAACTCGAACTTTACCTAAGTATCATTCGGACATTGCTGATTGTTTATCTTTGATAGGAAAAACTTTAGGTGATATGGATAATCCAAGTGAAGCAACCATGTATTCAATGCGTGCATTACAAATGTATATCGTCGAGCATTTGCTATGAGAAAGAAATGTCTTCCATGTGATCATCCAGATTTTGCTGCTATATTTGATAATATGGCTCTTAATTATAGTTATATGAATAAACATTTATTGGGATTGAGATATTCATTGAAAGCATGCCATTTGAGAAAAAAAATACAAATATCAAGTCATCCTGATATGGCTGGATCATTCAAAGTTCTAGCTTTAGTATATTCAAAAATGGGTTGTTACAGGAGAGCAATGCATTACATTGTTCGAACAAGGAAGATATTAAGAAGAACAACGCCCGACAAACATCTAGCGTGGATTGACGTGAAAAATCAAATCGCGCGGCTCAAAAAGAATATGCAAAGAGAAAAACGAAACAAGCGGAAAATAAAGAGTTGGAGATTAAACAGCTGGAAAACAGTTTATAGATTGGGAATGCTATCTGCAATGGCAAAAGTTAATTTGAAATTTCTGTACAAACCTATGAGAATTATCTATTTGAAACTTTTTTTCTAACGATAACAAGTACTTTATTCTAAGCTTAGCAATGCTTTCTATAACCCGTGAAAAATTAAAAAACTAGAGCGTGGGTGTGTGAATGTTAGTGTGTGTATAGCTATCACAATACTGTAGGTGTTTCGAGGTTTCTTCTATCTGCTGAAATATTTTAAGTATATTGATGTTCGCAGTAGAATATTGTTGAGGTGACATTTATTTTAGTGCTACGCTGTATATTCTCATATAGTGACCGTTGAGATATAAACGCTGTGCTGATGTACTGAGTTTGTTTTAATGTGCATTATAAACAGAGTTGCGAAACCTCCTGATTTTTGAACTTTTTCCCTGATAGCAAATAAGAAAATATTTGCTTTTATTTCATGCTCTCCAAAAACAAAAATCATCGATTACATGAACTAATTTTACAAAGAGTGCTTGATCTACTAGAGATAGAAAAAAAGTACATGTGATTGTCTGGAAAACAAGATCTTGAAAATCAAACAAGAGGGCGATCGACAACATTTTAGATGACCAGGCCAGATGTCTTTCGTCTGGATAGAATTCTGCATTTCTTTGAAATCACGTCAGATCTTTTTTAGCTCAGAACATAACAGTATCATGAATAACTTACGAAGATTCCTACATTTCATCTTCATTGGTAATATGGAGTTGCTATAGGTTCATTTTAACTGCAATTTTGTTGTCAAAGTTTGATAGAAATTACAAGCCTGAAAAGAATGAATAGATCGATAATATGATTAAAAAAAAAGTGAAGGCATCAATAAAAAAGAAGCTAAAGTAATAGCCAAGTCGATAACATGTTCATTTAATTGATGATAATAGGCTTTCAAAAAAAAAACAACTTTGTTTGTTGAAAGCTAACCTACCTTGTTTTTATAGCATATTAACGAAACAAAAACGCTCATTGTAGAAATGAGGAAAGAAGCACATGTAAACGATTCATATAGTGATGTAAGAAACAAAGAATAATTCTCTTTTTACCAACTCTGGTAAGAGTGTTTCTAGCGTTCTATTAATTTATATAAATACTTTTCCTTGATCTTCACAATGAAAACGAAGTTCCACAGATAGATCAGAATAAAATAGAATTTGGAAAAGATAGAGAATAGAATATAAACTGGCCAAGTCTACTCAATAGATATAAGTAAAGAAATCTTTTCATGAGTGTGCTATATATAAAAACAACTTTAATTGTGAAAGAAAGTCGAATGAAAATAAAATCATTTATAATGAATTATTGATCATCAACTTGATATGAAAGAGATAAAAGCGTTTATGTGAACGAAATTCGCATTTCCTAAGAGAAAATCGTCTTAAGTTCTCTTAACTACAAATAGAAAACCTTCTGATTTCCGAAATTTTGATTTGGCAAGCCGGATTATAAAGATGGAGGATTTTTTAGAATTTGATAAAATTCTGAAAGTGCTATGTTTTTTTTGTCGGGATTTTCTGAGTAGATGTGTACTTGCTACGCATATCGGAAATCGATGATGGTTTTTTTTAGGTTTAAACTGAGATGTGTCTGGGCTGTTTTCATCTAAACTATTAAGTGACGGTGAAGAGTATTTTCACATTGTTGAGTGTGGAGTGCAACGAAAAGGAAGACAGTCATCGCCACACTCATGTCCACAGCCACACCCTTTATTCAAAAAGAAAAACTTCTTGAACAATAGGAAAAATATGAACTCGAGTGTTTTTCAATATTTTCATCTCTTCATAAGTTTTTGAAAAAGAAAATAATATATTTCTTGAAGTTCTTCATGTTGTAATCCTCGATGTTTCTTAAAATTGAAAATTATATCTTAGAAATCAAAGACATAGCAACAATTACAAATGAAATTGGACACTCTCAAATGAAAAAGAAATTTTCTGTTTTAAATGAAGCACTAAATAATAAATTCTCCCTCCTCTAATCGACCATTAGTGAAAAGAACTACAATCAGCAAGAGATTTTTCGTTTTACACATTATATGTTATGATATCAAGACTTAAAGACATATGTAAGTTTCATGTAAAATGCTTTTATTTAATTCAATACTAACACAAGGACATCATACACATCTTTTTATTCCCTCGACTGTAGGGAGGGTCATATGAAATAAAATGCGTTTGTTTGTGTGTTTGCTTGAGGTCAAAAAAACATATTTCAGGAGTTAGGTCATAATAAAGTATTTCGAAGTTCTGAT